AAGATTGTTTAAATTACTTTGTGTATGAAACTTGGCCTTCGGTCTGCCAAAGTTAGAAAAGCACAGAGGTCCTTGGATCCGCTCATCCATCCCATTGCACGGCTTTTGATGAGATGAGCATTAATGCAAGGGTAACCTTGCATCCTGTGTTGGTACTTTAGATGCATATATCCTTGTTTGATCAGTTTGAGGATGTATATAATAGACTTGCTCCCTATATAAGCACTACCCACTATTCAAGCCCAAATTAGTCCTATGTCAAATGTATGTACTCCTACAAAACACGTTTTGCAGCTTTGCTGTGTCTAAGAAGACAAACACATTAGTTAGTAATTAGTAATTATTGTCTCTCCAGAATGTATTAATATGTTAATACCGTCAAGCGGGCAGGTGGCAGCATTCAAAAGATGGACTGTTGAATGCGGCAACATCCATCATTCTTAAGATGACCACTCTTAGGCACCATCATTAACTAGTAACCTCAGGAGTAGACTAAAATGAACAGTCCCATACAACCGGCATCATTAAGACGGGACGATAACCAAACCGTCTCATTATTGTCGGATGTTTTTTTCTTCTTTTCACACTAATGCGAGGCCTTATTAACTGTGGAGGCTGTAACGCCAGCATCTCCGAGGCCCACGGTATTGACCAGGAATTGCAGTAGGTGTCTGGTCCTCCCCCACAACCCCCTCTCGCCGGGGCCTCGCTGGCTCTTCCAGCAGCTGGAGTTGCTTGGTCGGGCAGCCTGTGTCCTTGTGTGCAGGCCGTGGCATGTGGAGCGGGCGGCGGGAAGCGAGCCTCCCTGTCTCCCCAGACTGAGCAGTGAATGAGGATAAGTGAGGAGCGCCAGTCAATGAATCAAGCAGCAGGAAGGGAGCAGCCAGGGGGAGGAGAGGGGGGGGGGGCTGTGACGTCCCCACGGGAGAGGCCTCGCATTAGGAACCTCCTCGTCTGTGTGTTTCTGGCACAGGTTAAATGGATCGCTCCCATTAGCGCGCTGAGAGGACAGCTCCATTATATGAAGGAGACTGTAACTTTGAATGTCACGGTGCAACAACCCCAGAGCACGCCTCGTCTCCCAGGGAGGCAGGGTGACAATAACCATCCATGATAATCATTCCCTGTCAGGCTTTAAGGAACCTGAAATTATGACGTACAGCCTGCCATGCGCCTCAGACTTCATTACAGCGCTGTCACTTTGAGTCGCCTGCGATGGCACCGCGCTCAACAGCCGGCTGCGGCGGAGAAGCTGCCAAACCCAGACTCGCTCTCCTCCCGTCTAAATGGCGTGTTTACAGGATGTGTGCCCTCCCTGCAGATAGCTGTGGTGGAGGTAAACCTCCACTCAACGGCAGAGTTCCTCTCCACCACAGGCAGAGTCTCGTGAGAACACGTTCCGAATTGTTTACCAATGCAAGGGGAAATATGACCAATGATCAAATGCCACACAGGCCACACAACTCTCCCTCGTTCTATCGTGAGAAACGTTCAAACTAGAATCCGGTCTTTAACTTCAATATCAGTCATGAATAAATAATCCCCAGAAGGCACTCTGGTGTTAATGAAAGGCGGAAACTCGAGTTGTAAGAGAGTTTAATGCAGCCTGTTTGTCCGCCAAGGAGAGCTTCACCTCCACGCTGACCTCTGAACCTGCCGTCCAGTTGAGGAGACGTGAGCTGGCAGGCATGGCCAATGTCAGTGCCGAGAGCAAACTTTTTTTTTTTTTTGTCTTTCTCACCACCTGACTCATTCGTTGGCTTTGTGGCCCCTTCTCCTTGCCACCTCCAATCGCAGAGCTCTGAATGACGCACAGAGGAGGGAGTGGGCCCACTTACCGCCCCTCCTGCCTCCAGTAACTTGCACAGCAACAGGCCAAATGGGCCTTTGCTGTTAGGACACAATTGGTTTTCTCTCTGCACCTTAGAACACGTTAATGGAGAGAATGCTTTTCATGTTATTAGGTGTTTGGATGGGCAGTTTTGGTCGGGACCCTTTATTAGAAATAAATAGAACAGCTGTGACTGTCTTTACTGCTGGGTCTCTCTTTAATAAGGGGATTTGCCTATTTGTTATTTCTGTCTATACATCTGGTGTTATTGTCTTTTTGACATTTGAGTTTTTGATAATTAGGCCCACAGTAAGAAAAAAAAAAAAAAAAAAAAAGCTCTACCGTTTCCAGTGGCGTGAGAACCCATTTGCACGCCACAAGCTTTGTGGTGACGTAGTACACATTTCTGGTGACTATAGACACAAAAAAAGAGAGGAAGGTGTTGACAACTGGATGATTTAAACAATGCAGGTTTCAAAACAAATTCACTGGTAATATGCAGCAGTGCATGTTAGGCCCTAAGGACTTCAATACTTGAATAATAAAATGTTCAAAGTCCAGTGAACCAAACCTTTTACAGTAAATATCCCCCCTTAATCTCATAGAGCAGTGTTGCAATAGGGGTACAACTCAGTATCCAAATTAAACAAAGACATAGGAAATGTAATGGTTACACAATCACGATCATTAAATACTGAACTTCTGAGGATTAGAAACAAGCCTTCAAAATGTCGTATACGTTGGTAGTTCTTGAAGTGGTACAACGAGCAAAGCAGCTTCTGAGTATTATCGCTGTGGTCTGTGCGGTTACCTTGGGCCAAAGCACGCACGCACACGCCTCACGTGCTCTCACACAGGCTTGTGTTTTATTCCACTTCCTTCGTTAAAACTCTTTACAAATGTTTTGTTCACACCTTGGTGGACTGTGGTAAGTCAGAAGAAAAACAGGCTGCAGTAGCAAACACTACTTTTCAATTGATCATGTCCCTTTTCGAATTGTCACTTCACCAATAAATAGTTTGACACTGTCTGCTTTTATGTGTGACGAAAAATGTATTTCAAAAGCTGCTACTTTTTTTTTTTTTCTAATGCAGTTTCCACTAAGCACGCCATTGATGCTCCTTACATTTAGGGTCAAAACAAAGAGCTGCTTATTAGTAGCTTTGCAGCTGCCTTGTCTTGAGACCGCTGCTCTTTAATGGCCCATCAGCTCTCGCTGGCGCCGGTGTCATCTGATTGAAGTGTAGAATTAAGACTGGATTTCTGTTTATTTCCTCCTCGCGTATAATGTCACAGTTGGACGGAGCAGAAGCTTTTGGCCCGGAGCACTGGAACAATGCTAAAGCTCCATCACAGAGCGCGGGCCCCCCTAGGTGACTGTTTTCGCTCTTTCTGCTCGGCGGAGTTGATGTTAGTTACGCGTTGCTGTGTGTTTCTGTGTGTATGTCTATAGGAGGCTGAAGGGCTTATTTGTTTTCCCCCTCGTTGCTCTTTGACTCGTTTCCCCTCAAACGTGTCTGAAACATTGTTATCTCCGGCCAGACGCCTTTTTCACAGAGAGTTATTGAATCACGTCAGCTCGCCGTCCCCCGAGTTTCAAACGCAAGCCGTAGAAAAAAGAAAAATTAGCAATTGCTTCCGCATGACAAGTGGGATCTATTAGTGGGCAATCGCCCCGCAGAGCGCCAGCATCCAGCGGGCCGCCGGGGACCGCGGCTGGCTGTGCGCTCGTCCGCTTCGGGCTCCCGGGGCATTAGACCAATGTTGCGGACGGCAAGAAGCCGAAGTGGCTCACTGGATGAGTTGACGCCCTGAAGGGGCGAGGCAGGGCAGCGTGAGCAGCTGACTCGCACTGCTCAGACCGGCCACTTGTTTGATGAGCGGTTTGCAACTTGCACACACGGCTGCTTGTATCTCATATATGTAGATTTTTTTTACCTGTTAGCATGTGGTTCATTATAAATTGGTACATTTTAGGATGAAGATATTTCATCCTGGACGCTACAGTGCTTATTTCATTGCAGCACTGCTTTTTTCCAAAAACCTTTACTTTTTATATATAGTATAAGATTTTCTCACCAATTAAAAATATGACTACTGCCCCAATAATATGTGTACTTGAGTGCCAATCCTAGGTACTTGATTAGTTTTATTTCCTGCTACATTATATTTCTACTCTAATACATGCCATAAATAAATACTGTAGTTTATAATAAAAGGGCAGAAAACAATTCGTTGATACAGAACATTTTTTAAGTATTGCGTCATTGATCAAGTTAACCACCTAACAAGCAGAACGTAAAGTATATATTTATACTCTAAAATCTTTAAAAGACATTGCTGACAATGCCCGAAGCCCCCCAACATAATTTTATTCACCCTCATAACCCTTTCAAAGTTTACAGCTCAGATTCATTCTCATGACATATAAATAGCATGTATAGCCTTTGCCACGCCATTGTTGCTTACATTTAGATCACGCCACCCGCAACAGTGTGGTTTTCTATATTTGATGATTTTGATTTGCTTGTCTATCACTAGCTTGTCAAAATAACAATAAATGGAGAAAAAAAAAAGATTTACTCTGTTAAGATTTGTGTTCCGCCCACTGCTGGTATCAAGCACCATTTAAAAAGTAGATAATGAATATTTGATGTAATTCTTTTCTTTATTTCCTGACGTGTTGTGTACCATCATTTGTGCTTTGATTCATCGATTGTAATGTTCGTTCATAGAGGTTTTTTGTACACACTGTCTTGAAAAACAAGTCCTTATCTGAAAAAAATGAATAAAGGATTAACTAACTAACAGGGAGGTCAAATTGCCTTATTCCCGCTCTGGGCCACAGGCTTAGTCATGTGCTCGTGCCCGATCAGGGCGGCTGCTCAACACATTATCATTCCAAATGTTGTTTATGTATAATTTTTCATTCATGCCCGCTGAGGATAAAGCTTCAACCTCGTGGTTGTTAATGTTAATGCAGCATGGCTGTAGGTCATATAGCAGCCTACACACACACACACACACAACATCCCTGGGCCTGCAACCTCGGTGACCTTGGTCAGTGACGGTGACCTCTCCATCGCCGCCGCCACCTTCCGTTAGCTGTACGCACCGTGAGGCTTTTCTTCGGTGGGTATCATTTTCATGGTTTGTTTTCTCTTTGCAGGTATCTCCGTAACAAAGAAGACGCATACTTGTGAGTACACCATTTTTTCTTGTGTTGCACAACAATGGCATGGCCGTAAAAATGCAATTTAATTACATACAGGACATTTCCACACTGACTCAATCCTGGGAAAATCTCCCTACCTCGTATACAGAAGAAGATCTTGTTTCTGTTGACTCTTTCATCAGTGCCTGCGTGAATATTGTTGCCCGACTAGCATTGTAATAAATCAATACCCTCACTTAGATCAGTGGGATCCTTTCACTGTATTTCACGTTCTGCAGTGAATATGATGATAACCCCAGAGAGGAAATTAAAATGCTGTGCAGTCATATGACTGTTTGATAATCATGCACAGTTGAGCAGAGCGTGTGCTGAAGCACTCCTTTGTTTTCTGCAAGGCCTTTGCAGCTGAGCAACACGGATGTGGTGTGTTGTGTGGTGGCTTGCAAGCTCTGAAGCTGATTAACTACCAAGAGTTTGTACTCTCCGCGTACAGATGGTATCGCCGCAATTGAAAGACGCAGGATTATTTTTGCCGTGCAACGGCAGTACACAGGCCTTTTGCCTTTTTCAATTTCAGCCTGCTCATAAAGAATTGATGAACAGTCAAACCTGTAGCAATCAATGATTTGAGAGATTTGTACTCTATTTTGACACGTGTGAAGTGTAATCGAAAAGCATGTAAAAACGCTTTTGTGCCGTGTGCTGCGGTGTGTGTGTGTGTGTGTGTGTGTGTGTGTCTTCATGCCCTGCTGTGTGAACGGAAAAAACAAGCCCTGAAGGCGATCCTTTCCCTCTGATCACTCTGATGAAACTCGTGGAGAGGGAAGGCCAGAGGGCTTTTCTGTAAGAGGGGTCGTAGAGTTTCAGGTTGTGAGAAGCTGCATCTCGCCTTGTGAAAAAAAACATCAGACAACAGGGCAAAGGATGGGCTCTTCTAGACGGGTCCACATTTACTCAAACAGTCCTGTCGAAACAGCAGCACAACTGCGTGTTAAGCTATTTACTTGTCTGGAGGGACTTCGGTGCGTCTTTTTTTTTTTCTCTCCCGTGTGCGTGTCAGGATATCTTCAAGGTAGCACAGAAACGCTTTGACCCGCCATCCGCCGCCCCGCTATCTTAATTAGTGCGGCGCTAAGCACCTCAACACCGGAAGGGGGCTCAAATCAAAGAGCATGATTTAGGAGTCTCGGGTTCAAAGCCCTGGGCAGAGACTGGACCACGCTGTCTCATATCAGTGAGAAATATTCAAATCCAGTCCTCGTGAGGAAATCAAAGTAAAGCCCCTTAACAAGAAGCTGATTGCTGTGCCTCACAGTCAGGAAGCGTCTGTTAGAACCTCGACAGAACTGTGTGCACAGAGAGCGAGTTCAAGGGCTGGTTAATGGTCATTGAGGACACGGAGCGACGGTCTCTTCTCGGAGAAGCCTGGTGATTATATGGTGGAGTAATAATGATGGAGGCGCCTCTGCCCTACATGGGTACAGCCAGGCCATCTATTTCTGTTCTCGGAGTGCAAACGTTGGATTCCCCACTACGCCAGTCCACACCGCCGCCCGTGATGCGAGCTTGGCAGTCTTACTTGTGTGTGTGTTGGTGTGTTTTAGGAGGTCTTCCCAGTCCAACTTAGACCACAGGGACGGGCCGTGTCTCTGACTAACTCCCCACTCTGCCTGAGTGATCAAACTGCTGGAAGCTCCCCGCCATACCAGTCCCCTCATCAATATAAATTACAGGGGCAGCTGTTCACTGGCAAACTCTCTCTCCTCTCTCTCCACTCCACTCCTCTCCTCTCCCCTCCTATCCTTCCCTCTTTCATTCAACCAACGTCACTAATCACAGAGCCGTCAGAAGGTGAAGTATTCTAGATGAAAACAGATACCGAAGTTCCCAAAGACAGCAATGTCCTCTCAGAGGACCGGATACTTTAAGGACTTGAGTAGATTTATTTTGTGAGGCGGTACCTTCTCTTTCTTCATTCCCTGTAAGGTGCGACCCCTCGGCAGCCCTTTCGTTAACCACGAGGCAATAATTCTCAGCAAGAAGTCAGCTGTGGTTTTCCTGTTCGTTTCCCTGACAGCTTTACATCTGCTACTGTTGTATTGACTTTTAGCAGCAGTGGGTGTTAAATAACAAAGACGGAATTGCCTGTGACAGAGGCGACAAAAAGAGATCCTTAAGGCTTAAGCTCTCGATTGCATTTAGCTTGTTTTCTTCTCTTACTCCGATGCCGGACACCAGGAACGCGCGCGGTCGCCGTCTCCTGCCTCAGCGAGGCCGCGTTGCTGTGAGATGGATTTCCGTTTGGACCTGTTGAGAGAGAGATGGAGCGGAGGATCAGATGCAGCAGCTGATTACACCCAGATTAGACGTCTCACCTCTAATCTCCCAGTCTGGGGCTGCGTCTCTCGGCTCGAATAGCAGAGAGCGAGCTAACGGAGCAGATCCCCTGATTACCTGCAGCTTAATCCTCTCTCACTCTTGCAGATGAAGTACAATGTGCTGATTGTCTGACTAACCACTCAGACTACGCTACACTGTATAAAAAATAAAAATAAAAAAAAAGGGTGTTTGCATTAAGTGTACACAAAAAGATTAGACAAAACATACAGAATTAATTATTAATCCCTCAAAACAACAAAAACACAACAATATTCGAATAAATTCTCAAACTGTCCACAAAAATCCCCATAGAGGCTAAAAAATAACGACTACCGTTGTTTCATTTTATTTCATTATACTTGAGGGGTGTTTGCAATATTCTGCCAATCCCCTGTGTTAATGTGTGGTGTGTGTGTGTGTGTGTGTGTGTGTGTGTGTGTGTGTGTGTGTGTGTGTGTGTGTGTGTGTGTGTGTGTGTGTGTGTGTGTGTGTGTGTGTGTGTGTGTAATGGGGAACAGAGCGGCCAGTGGGAGACAGGCGTACTAATGTGACTCTGGGAAACGGACGATTCTCTCCTCTCTTCAGACGCACAGACACCACAAAGATTCCTCCCCCTGCATTTATATCCGTTGCGATGACAGACTCCTTACTCTAGATTGAGAGACACGCCCTTGCTCGCGGCATTTAAAATCATTTCGCTGCACCTTGAACCTAGTTTCTCTCGTCACAGATCCACACTGTCGTAGTAACAGCACAGCTGATCTGCTTTAAAGGAAAGGGATGATTAATATTTGTGAGTTACAGTGAAATATCATCTGTTACAGAGATTCAACTCAAAGTTATAAAGCCAGAGTTTGTAGATTGTGTTCTGTGCATTTGAGATTACTCTTCTGAGTCTTTGTGTTCGCTCAGCGCTTTGTCTGCTGGGCTTTTTTACCCCTGTGAACTTTACCTCGAAATGACATCGGATCCCGCTTAGATTTCTGCGTGGTACAATGCTAATCCGTTAGCCCTGTGAGTTGAGGTATTTTCAGCTAATCAAACAGCAGATTTATGGTCCTTAATAGTGCTGTACATTGCCAACTTAGGCGAATAATATGTCCCAGTTGCTGTCTAATTTTGCTTGGCAACAGGCGCGCTCCTGTGGAATCGCCCCGGGGCAGTGTGAGTTGTCTCTGCGTAGCTCAGTTTTCTGTGCTCAGTGGCTGTTTGAAGGTATTTCATCACATTGTTGCCTTGATTCAGCTCTGTGGGGATTTGTTAGTTGCACTCATGTGGGAAGTGCATCCAGTACATTGTTAAGCCCGGGCTGATAATGAAGATCAGCCAGCCAGAGTCCCCTGAGCTCGGCGCACAGAGATGGTCTAGTGAGACGCTCGGCACAGACATGGCGGAGCAGGACGAGTGCACACAGACGCAGAGGAATCATCAGCACAAAGCATACAGTACTGAACTGTGCTACAGTATAATAGGGTAAAAAGAAAAAGGAAAAAACACAATACAGAAGTGCATACAGCACATTAGATTAGTATTAACATGTTACCTACTAAACATAATTTCAAAGTTTGTCAAATTGGCATTATTATGGTTAAACGTCGGTTGAGAAATATTGCAATCATTCTGATGTGGTGGCTCTTTTGTTATGGATTGGAATTGACAACGCGGGTGCCCACTAACCACCGGCACTCTCTCCGTGGAAGTCATTTGATTCTCAGCGTGGTACGAGAAGTTGTTGTTTCCTCTCCTAACACAGTAACATTGAATGCTTAAATTGACGCAATTTTTTTTCCTCCCGCCTCACTGTAGGTTACGTTTCATCTCTCTCTATTTGTTTGTTCCAAAGAAAGAGTGTTCTTTTCGGACATTCTGGTATAATCTATAACAGGCGGCTATTTTTTTTTTTTTTTCTGAAATAGGTCAATGTAATCACAACAGTGAGGGATGGACAGTCACTGTAAAAGGGAAATCAATAGAGCTATCTATTTGTCGTAAACCAGAACAGCATGATTTTTCTCCATTTTGCCTCTGGTGCCGTACTTCTCTTCAACACAATACGGCAGGCCCTCATTTTTCAGTAAAAGCATTATGACTGCCATTTTGTAAGATTGCAAATGGCCTTTGTACGTGCACTTTCCTTGCATACGTTTCTGTGGGTGTAGACGCTTCTTTTTATCACCTCCTGGGGGCCCAGGCTGTTTTTACAGGGTGGAACCGTAGGGGTGCACAGCAGCTTTTTTTTTTTTTTGTGTGGGAGCTCCGCTTTTGTTGCCTCTTAATCTGGTTCTTCTCTTGGTGCCGGCTCTTTCAGAGAATTTTATCGCCGGAGTGAGGAGAGGCCTCGTCAGCTTTTTCCTCCGCCTTTTCCCCTTTTGTGTCCCCGTTGAAAAACCGAAAGGCCTCGCCTTGATGTGTTGTCAGACCAGAAAACAAGAGTAACTGACATGTGACAAGGACACAATGCTCGGCTGGGCCGGCTAAAGCAAGTGCCCCCCCCCCCCCCCCCCCCCCCATCTGCTGCCGGCGATTTCTCTTCTGCCGGCTGTCTGCCACCTGAGGTGAAACGGCCCCGGAGGCCGCGGGCCGCACTGCGCCAACTGCGTCTGCCAGGCGAAGCAGTTGGCGTGGCCCGGGGGGGGGGGGGCCTC